GTGTGGCTGCAGGTTCATTTATAGTATAATATTAATTTCATCTCTTATGTTGACCTTTTGTGGATGGTAGTTTCTGTTGGGTTTTATTTGCCTTAAATTTCTTATCATAAATAGGTTTTCCTTTTAGGAAAAGGTTTTGGATTGATTAATCTTTTTCTGGTAGGAAAAAGTTTACGACTCTATAAATAGAGGCATGTTCCTTCTAACTTAATCAGCATTCACAATGTAGTCTTAAGGTTTTGAGAGTTTTGGTTAGAGGGAGAATTTGTGGGTCACAAGCTTGATATGTTATCACTTGTGTGAACCTCCCATGTATTCTGAGTGAATTGGTTGAGGTTGTTTCTCTCTGTATTTTATACTCTCATATTTATAGTGGATTGCTCATCTCCTTTGTGGACGTAGGTCGATTGACCGAACCATGTTAAATCTTTGTGTCTTTTGGTATATTTCTCATTGTCTTCTTACTCGTGGTCTTTCGAGGTTTGCTTTGCTAGCTTCCGCGTTTACACCTGCTTATTTTTCGGTCCTAACAGTTTCCTCATAACATACTCTGCTCTTGCTAAATGTTGATGCTATGTTTACTGCTCCATTGACATCGCAGTAGGACTCTTCTCCCCCTACAAGTCATTCCCTGTAAACGGAACTTCTCGCTAAAAAATAGCGTTGAAACACTCGTCTCCTTCAAGTGTTTTTTTCCTTAGCTTTATCAACAATAACAAAAAAAAAAAAAAGGGAAACTGTTCTAATATGTTCGTAACGTGTTCATCAGCTTAAAATGTATTCTTATAATTCTACAAACATGCCCTTACTTTATTTATTTTATTTTTAAGAAGAACTCTTTTAGCGCTTGTTTTTCTTAGTTTTGTTAGAACTCAATCAACGATATAATAAATACATATGGGAACTTGAGATATGGGAACTGCTGCGCCTTTTGCCGATCTAACTAATATGTGGATGCAAGTTTATAGTAGGTAAATACATGTATGCGTATTTTTGGTTTTATGTTGAACTTAACAATATTGTGGTTAAGCATATTTGATACTTTGAAGTCCTGTTAGCATAAATTTTGTCTTCTGGTGAAATTCTCTGTAAAGAGACCAACACAAAGTCCTCTCCTCTCTTTTTATTTCCATCATCGATGTTTTAATATGTGAAATTATGTCTTCTCTGTTTTGACTCTTTAAGTACAACCTGGGGGTTTGTCGGCTTGTAATGAATGTTTACTAGACATTGTCAAGGCTCACATGAACTAATCAATTCAATTACTACTCTAGCATAATAATTTTTTGACTTGTTTCATATTTTCAAGTGAATATTTGTGCCTTTGCTTAATAGTATTGTTAGTCATGTCATTATTTGCCGTATTTAAATGCCCTTAGCACTCAGCTTTTGTTTTGTCCTTATCTTGGTGATTAACTCGTTGAACTTACACTTCACTCTTTTATTTACAACTGACGTGATTATGATCGTAATGTGCTAATATCTTTAGCATTTCTATGAAATTTGAACATTAGTCAGGTGTTATAAATTGTGATTATGATCGTAATGTGCTAATATCTTTTTTTGTTTCACTGAATTAGTTCAGTTTAGTTGCTCTGCTCGCTTTTTGTTATTAGTTCATAAGATATGTGATAGTCAGCAATGTTCGATGTCTTGTTGTCAACCCCATTGTCTTCAAAAGAAATCTCAAAACTCCCTAGGGACTCCATCTCCCATTCCTTTAACACGAGTTGTATACTTCTTAAAGATTGTATTCCTATCTAAATGAATCCATTTGGCTTTGAACTTGTTTGTTTGGATCTGGTATAGCTGAAATTTATTCCAAGATAACTATGTTCATTTTATTGATAAATTATCGTTCGTCTAAGTCACCACAATAGCATGCATATTTTCGTTGATAGTTGTCTCTTTTTAAAATCCTAACCCATCTTGAATTTTTCTACATGAGTTAAATTTAGAAACCTTTAAATATTTTCCCTCTTTCTGTTGTGACTAGAAGAATTCTTTGTTAATGCATAATACTTTGAATCTGATGCAGTCGAATTTAGCTTCACTCTATTGATGGTCTAAGTTATTTATCGCTTTAGCGTCGTACACCATTTTATGAACTTGGCTCTTGTGCAGTGAATTTACTATGCTCTATTTCAACCCCCCCCCCCCCCTTTTTTTTTTTCCTTATCAAAACTTTGCCTTCAAAACTTGATCAGTATGCATACAATTAATGTTTTCTAAATTTGTTTCTTTGAGTGGCATTTGTGTATATCTAAGAAAGTCGAAACATCACCATTATTGTAGAGGAATGTCAATATGTTAGAATGATAGAACTGCAAGGTTTTAAGCTTTATCTATCATTTTTACTATATGATAATTGTGCATGTTGATACCCAATTTTGGCTCTCCTAATAATAATAATAATAATAATAATAATAATGATAATAATAATTTTTAATTATTTATGTTTACTTGATAAATTCATCTCATAAATGTTATTTCTTATATAAATTTTTAAAATATATATATATATATATATATATATATATATATATCACGGGAGACGCTATCCAATGGAAATTCTCTTGATTAACTTGATTGGTGTATGCAAGTACTCGATATATTTTCTTTGTCGAGCTGATTGGGCTCAGAGGCTTTCACCTATATGCACCTCTCCGGGTCATGCGGCTATTTGGAGTTATCCAAGACATTCCTCTATGGACAATGATGAGATTTAGTGAAGATGTATTTATTTCAATCTCGCTAGATCGAATAAGAAATCTACAAGCCGAGTGGGAATAAACATTCGATTTACAAATAGGCGAAGAAAAATGGTGTACGCCAGAGTATTACGCTTGGTGAAACACTATGAGTCATATGGCTCATCCAAGCGCACACGGGCATTGGGGGTTTTGTAGACAGACAACAAATTGATTGGATTAGAGAATCAACGCTTTCTCGCATGGAATTCACTACACCCATGCTCAAACAGATAGTCCGGAATCCGTCAATTATTTGATCCAAGAAGAAGATCCAGAAGAGGAATTTGAAGAGGAACTTGAGGAGGGCCCGGAGGAGGATCCTGAAGAGGACCCAGAGGAGAATCTCGAAGAAAACCTAGAAGAAGACCTTGAAGAGGATCTTGACGATGACCCAAAAGAAGAAGTGTGGGAAGATAACATGGAGGTTTCTGAGGCAAGTTCTAACATCTATGACCCAATAGATAGAGAGGTGTGCGGCCTCGACGAGTCTCCAAAGTACCACCCTAAGCCATATTATGATGGGAATGATGACGATGATGATGCTCCAACCTGACCGTAGATTCATCTTTCTTCTTTGACCTTTTTCATAAGCTCTTCAAGTGCCATGTAGCCTATTCCTGTTGTATACCCTGTGCCCCCCCCCCCCCCCCTTTTCATTTCTTATGTTTTTGATAACCTACCTCAATGTAACATCCAAGACTACCTTAATCAAAGAAGTTATGTTTGCTCCAAATCTAAAAGGTGTTTAAATGGATCATTTATTATCGAACTAATTGAAACGTAGGCCTACCTCAGGCAAAAAGAGGCTCTACATTAGGACGCATTCTGAAGGTCGACGATTTGGCGTATATATGTATTACATTTGCTTGATTG